ACTAGCAAATTATGGTATTCGGGGTAAACTTTTAAATTGGCTTGTTAATTATATAAGTGAAAGAAAACAGCAAGTTTGCGTGGGTAACTCTAAATCCTCTATTAAATCTTCTAATGCGGGTGTTCCACAAGGCTCAGTACTTGGTCCCCTATTATTTATTTTATATATTAATGATTTAACCGATAATCTTCAGAGTTTCTCAAAATTATTTGCCGATGACACTTCTTTATTATACTCGAACCCATCCCCTTACAACGTTGAAACTGTAATAAATGATGATTTAGAACAAATTCAAAATTGGGCGAGAAAGTGGCTAGTAAAGTTTAATCCAACTAAAACAGAAGCATTACTTATCCATAATTCCGAATTAGACTACGCGATAGATATAAAATTTGATAATGTTAGTGTGAATTTTGTAGATAATCATAAGCATTTGGGGGTAACATTTGACCAGAATTGTAAATGGACAAGTCATATTGAGGACATTTGTAAAAAAGTATCTAAGCAGATTAGTATCTTGCGAAAACTTAAATTTATTCTAGGTAGACAAACATTGTATAGAATATATAATTCTTATATTATTCCACTATTAGAATATTGCTGTGAGGTATGGGATGGATGTACTCTCGGTGACGCAGACAAATTAGAAAAACTTCAATTAGAGGCTGCTCGTGTGATTACGGGGTTACCATCTTATACGAGCAGAGATTCCTTATATTCTGAATGTGGGTTAGAACCACTTTGCTTTAGACGCTCTAGAAGGAAATTGCAGCTTTTTTATAAAATCAAAAATAACTTAACACCTGATTATTTATCCACTCTTCTTCCCCCCTTAGTCTCAGAAAATTCACCCTATAACCTTCGAAATGCCAATAATTACTCCATACCAAACTACCGTCTACAACTCACAAAATCTTCTTTCTTTCCCTCTACTATTCATCTTTGGAATCAGTTAGATCACGATATCCGACAAAGTGAAACATATTCGGTCTTTAAACACTCTCTCCGTAAAAACACAGACATTCGAATTCCGCCCTATTTTCTTATTGGTGATAGAAAAACTAACATCCTGCATGCCAGATTACGTAACAGATCCAGTACTTTAAATAATGACTTGTTTCATGCTAACTTAATTAATTATAAACACTGTCAATGTGGGCACTATATCGAAGATGCTCATCACTTCTTTTTTGTATGTAATAATTATGCCTACCAACGCCTACAACTTTATCGTGAGCTTAATGATTTCATTCCACTAGACCTCCACCTTCTATTATTTGGAAACTCCGAGCTGACTAACCAGGAAAACGAAACTATATGCCAATCCACCCAAAGATTTATTATAAATACAAACCGGTTTTAAATTATACTCTATAGTAAATTATAATCGTTCCTTCCCAACTCGGGTGACAATCGGTTGAGATATGTTATTTCCAGAAGGATCAGCATGGACCAAGGAGAAGGACATCGGTGGCACGGTTTTTGATAGACATTGACAAGTTGAACGCTAGGAAGAGTGGAATAGTATAAAGAATGTGATTGTCACCTGGGTTGGGTTAGACCATATCGCTATTGTTCCTTTTTCACTACATTTGTAGATGTACTCTCTCTCTCTCTCTCTCTTTCCCCCCCCCTCTCTCTTTCTCCCCCCCCCCCCCCCCTCTCTCTCTCTCTGCTCTCTCTCTCTGTATATATAATTGTATCTTGTAAATTTCGAATAGGTCATCTTTTGCATTTATATGTGTCTGTTATTTATCTTGGAACGGGCTTTATATAAGTTTGTAAACTTGTGCCCAATCCATTTGTATATACAATTTATGCAATAAATAATGAATGAATTTAAGAAGGGGAAGGGCCTTTGGAAACTGAACAGCTCTTTACTGTTGGACTCTTGATGTGGATAAAAAAAATGCATAGAGAATAGAAAATAATTGTTTACCTGTTTATAATCCTGATACTCTTAATCTTATTCCTGATAGTAATATACAATTTGTAATAAATGATCAGTTGTTCCTAGAAACTTTGCTCATGGAAATAGGGGGAAAATCTATTTCATATGCATCATATAAGAAAAAACAAAGTAATGGAAGAGAGGAAGAACTTAAATAATTAATAGATTCTTTGGAGGATGAAACCAATACAGATCAGGAGCAATGAGATAGTGTTAAAAGGAACTTGAGGAAATCTGTTTGAAAAAAAACTTCTGGAGGATGATCAGAGCTAGAGTTAAATGTATAGAAGAAGGGAAAACCAACATCTTACTTTTTTAGTTAGAAAATAGAAACTTTATTAAAAAATTTGCTCCAAAAATTCAAAAAGAAAATGAGGTCATTACAAACCAAGAGGATATTTTGGCAGAAAATAGGACTTTTTATAAAAAGTTATATAGATATTGATAAAATTGATTGAGAAATCCATCTGCAGAATTGTAATGTTAAAAAACTAAGTGATACTGAATCTGAAAAAATTAAGGAGACCATAACATTTGATGAAGCAAGGAAAGCTCTCAAAGACATGAAAAATTATTAAAGTCCTGGGTCAGATGGATTAAATGCAGAATTCTTTAATAGCGTTTTGGAAATATTTGGGTAATTTTGTTGTCTCTTTCATAAACTATGCTTTTACAATTGGTCATTATTCAGTTACACAGTGGCATGGTGTAATGTTTTGTATTCCAAAGGGAAATAAGCCTCGCCATTCCTTAAAAAGCAGGAAACCTATTAAATATTACCTATAAAATAGCTTCAGGGCCAGATAGGATTAAAACAGTCAATGACAATCAGGCAGGACTTTTATCACGTAGGTACAGAGGAGAAAGTATTCGCACTGTTTATGATGTCATGCAGTTTGCAGAGGAACAAAATACCCCAGGCATATTAATGTTAGTTGCCTTTGAAAAAGCTTTCAATTCAGTATCTTCAAATTTTATTGACAAAGTCTTGAATTATTTTAACTTTGGTGAAGATATAAGAACATGTGTCCAAATTTTTCATTATAATGTAAATGCATCAATCAATCAAGGTGGCAATATTTTTTATGTTGAACATGGATGCCAGCAAGTGGACCCTTTTTCTCTGTATATTTTCATTCTCTGTGCTGAAGTTTTGGCTTTAGAAATAAAAAAAAACAATTGTCATATTAAGGTTATACATGTTGAAAATACACCAGTTTTAAATGTTCAGTATGCTGATTACACTTCATTAATTCTAGGTCAGTGATATCTCTCAGGGAGTTAGTTGTAGACTTTAATAATTATGCCAGCATTTCAGGTCAAAACATCAACACCAGCAAAACACAAAGTATTTGGATAGACAGTAGAAAGTGAACAGACTTGCCTGCCAGAACTGAATTTACAATGGAGACAGTAATTCATTGTTTATGGGAATGTCAAGAGGTGCAAATTTTACTTGGGAGATTTGAAACTCTTCTTGATTTATCACTAATTCTGTTTGCTTATAACCAGGAATCATTTCTTTTTTGAATAGTAACACAATATTGTAATCATGTGGATAATGAAATTTTAATTCTTATCAAACATTATATCTACAAAACTAGATGCCTTAGCAAATCCCTACACCTCATTGCACCCGTCAATGTTATAAAAGATCATTTCCTGGTTCAAAAAAATTATAGATAACAGTAAAAGTGAGCTTATTAAAGGATTTTGAAAACAGATTAAGGAAAATGGAAACCTCTTTTGGAATTATAATGACTTCATCCAAAGTTTATTTTTGTTTGATTTTTGATGTTATTATTATTATCAATTATTAATAACCCTTATATAAATACCCCTAATTCATGATTTTGGTTCTAGTTGGCAGCTTTGAATATTTTTTCATGATCATCTTAACCCAGGTTGAGCCCAATTTAGCTCACTGTATAGCCCACTTTTACATTTATATACCATGAAACTGCCTGTCTGATCTTGATTCTTCTTTCTCTTCCCCCTCCTGCCCTTGCTATACTTATCTCCTTGTTTAGATATTTTAGCTACAGACTGAATGTCACTGCTGTACACTGTATCATTCTTTATGACATTCGACTTCTGTGATCGCAAAGGTCAAAATCATTCGTTTGAACAAATTTGATACTCAATTACCTGAGCATCTTATTCATCAAATATTAGTGTTCCAGACATTGTTTATATATATAGATTGATTGAATTAGTGATTTACAAAATGTCATCAAAGAATAAGACAATTGTTAACATGTTTTTGAACAAGAAGATATAAACACTATCTAGTATGCTTGTTTTTATACATCTACTGGATATTAGATCATGAACTTTGGTTTTAACATGCAGAAAATTCATCACCTAATCTCCAGCATAAAAACAAGCAGACAATCCCCATTCGCAAATATCACAATATCACACAAATTCAACAAATACCTACACCTGCACAATTTTATTGGAAACGGTCCCTCACATTGTCCTGGCCATGTAAGAGGCTTCTTTAGATCATTGATGATGCAGAAGGTCCCTCTGCTTTCCAGTTCAGTTGTCATGTTGTTAGTGAATTTCTTTCAAATGGAGACTTGTGTATTTTTCTATGTATTATTATCCAGTAAAGGTAGAATACAATACCATGTTTTTAATCTTTTTTGTTGTGATATTATAACTGAAGTTGACCCCTAGATTGAGAATATACTTGAACGATTAGCCACAGTGAGTTGTCTTTATCAACATTCTGATATTACTGACAAAAAGGAAAGTCAATTACAACAATTTTTTTAATGTACTCTCCACTTCCCATTTCGATGTTGTTTTAATAAATTTCTCCCATGTCACTCACTGCCTCAACCAGAAATAAGCCCGCCATCTTTGTGATACCATCAAAATTCATGAGTATCTGAAAGGATGCATCACATAACCATTATTATATAATAAACTGTATCATTGCCTGATTTTTTCCCCAAATAGTTCCAAAGCTCAAGGTCTCCCTGAAAACATGAAAAACAGATAAATCTGTTAATTTTGTCATTATTACTTGTGTTTGTAGGTTGGATTAACATTGCCGGATACTAACACTGTACCCGATGCTGTACATGATATTTGTATGGAGGAGAAATCTTTCACGGTACAGGGATTGTCAGTGTTAGAACTGATAGACATGGATTTGATTGGAGCTTTTATCAAAACAGGTTAATTACATTGTTATACTGGATATACATTTTACATATTGGTTGAAAATAAAACCATTTTAGCTGTTGTAGAAAGTTTACACACATGTTTTTGATAAAGAGATCTTATCTTTTTCAGAGGTCCAAATTGCTTATGGATTATCCTTTCTGAAAAATTTCGATTACTATTATCAGTAAAATATACATATATTATGATAATCCGAAATCACTTACTTAAAATTTATTACCTGATCCATCTGAAGCAAGATATAATGTTTTTATTTATTTTTTTTAAATAAATGTGTTAGCACAGTGTTATTTCCTGTCAACAGGTCGCCTGTGTCTGATGTCTCACAAGACTCACATCGACAATGAGGACTGTGTTGCTGTTCTCCCTAATGGTGAGTATAATCTCTAATGATACAGGACACTTCAAGGTCAACTCTACAATCTGGGCCTGAATTATTATAGTTTGTGAAGTTTTATTTTTATCAATGAATCTTAAGAAGAAACATTAGTAATCCTTTTCAGTTTTATACACAGAAAACCAGCTGTGGAGCAGCACTTTTATGATTCTGATTCATATCTATTGTAATCATTTTTGCTGTTTATTTCTCTGTGAACAATATATATATAATTTTGTTTCAAATTGAATGATAAGGTTAAAATTCTGATCGTTATTTGTACATTTTGTTTGATTTGCTTGACTATAAAAACAATTCTAATGTTGTTTCATCTTTTTGTTTGCCTGGTTAATTGCCTTTGATTAGATAAACTTATTTTCATTGAGATTTGGTCACTGTGGTGGCTAATGGCTACATCAGAGGACAGGAAGCCCGTCACATGCTTTCCATATTAGAACACAACAGTACAGCATTGTCTGATCTTGACTTCCTGAGAAATACAAAACATTCTGAATGTGTTTAACAAACCACTTACCTATGTTCTTCACCTGATAAGGCTAAGTCTGATGTTCTACTGACTGAGGTATTGTAGTCACTCATATATTACCACACTACAGTATATATACTTGTATTATAATCTGTGTATTCCAGGTCACCTGATCCTCCACCTGACGAAAGACACTTACCAGTGTTTAGGACTGGAGGGGAGGCCTGCAGAATTTCCTCGTAGGAATCCGGACAAATTTGGTAATACATGTACAAACAATTGATAGTAGTCTGCTTCAGGACTTGTGTCACTGATAGGTTTTACGGTGCATTCTAGTAAGTAGATGTACCATGTAGTCATTTCTCTTCAGTCTACTTGATACAGCCATTAGTTTAGTGCTTTAACATACTGTTACTACGTAATGAATAGAAAGTGTAGAAATTGAGCGTACTGCACCTACTTTTATATAGAAAACATCAAGAAGATAACAATATGGGTTCAGAATCACAATTCAAACTCAATTCAATAAAACTTGAACAAAATAGAAACAAAAGAAAGATTTACATGGCGACACCTAAAAAGGTTCAAGGAGAATAAGACTAGGTGTTCTGAAAAACAACGACACCCACCATGCAAACCTTAGTCAATCAAAGTAAGTAATGTCATGTTCTCAAGTGAGAACAATGTACACAACACCGGAACCAACAGGCAAACTAACGAGCATCAAATACATACAGCTTCATGTCGCACAAAGAAGTAGAATATTTCTCAATGAGATCACTATGGCAACCATAAAACTTCCCCATAATTTTCATCTACCTCCATCTTTTGAACTCTTGTGTTATGACTTTGTCAGTTATTCGACGACTTCTTACATGAAAATTGTGATAATGAGAACAGGCCCTTGAATATCGAATCAACTGTGACATGTAAATACCTTAGGTTGGAGATGCAGGGGTATTGCTATACAGAAATGGAAAATTCACTACAGGGAAATTGAAATCATTACATTTATCATACAGCTTGATGGAAAGTTGTCCATGTTGGTTTCGTTGATAGAAAAGATCGAGATAAGTAGCTGATGCAGAAGAGTCTGTCATATCTTTTGTTTCCAGTAATGGTGGATATATATAATGGACATAGTCAATAGATATCTTGTTATTGAAAAACAAGATGTCATCGATATTAGAAGGTGACATTAAATGACTTTGCAAGGTCTTTGTGACCTATTTAAAAAACAATAAGCCATGTTTGTTTTTTCAGTGTAATTCATATATCTGTGATAATGTAGAATCTATCACAGTGAATCATTAACTTATTTACATTGAAGACTGATGACAATAAAAACGGTTTTGTACAGTGGTCACAATAAACCTCCTAGAGAAATGCTTCAGACCAGAAAAGAAAAAGTATCAACAAGTGTTTAGAAGTCTTCGAGATCGGCTTGATGTGCGGTTTGACGTCATCATGACATGGACTCCCAATGGTAAATATAGCTTAAGAATAGGGTGTGGTGTCTTTATTATCCAGCTCCCATGGTTAGAAGGACTGAAACTAGTTAATGTCATGGTACATATCAGCTTTTTTCTTTAAAACAAAACCAGATCAATGTGAAAGGATGAATTTGTCTAAATTTGGTAAGTAGCATTACTGGAAGAAAGGACAATTGTTTTGGGGCCCATTAGGGGAATTAAAATCCTCTTCTTTGTGGATAAAGAGGTTTGATGAAATTGGATTTGGAGAATTAGTGAATGAAAGAGACATCAGTATTGTATAAAAGCAGAAGAAAGGGGCTGAAAATGGGAAGACTGTCTTGAACGAGATATGTACATCATTATTTATTTTAATGTCTCAGTGTGGTACAGGGTTGATACCATCATGATTTATTTTAATGTCTCAGTGTGGTACAGGGTTGATACCATCATGATTTATTTTAATGTTTCAGTGTGGTACAGGGTTGATACCATCATGATTTATTTTAATGTTTCAGTGTGATACAGGGTTGATACCATCATGATTTATTTTAATGTTTCAGTGTGGTACAGGGTTGATACCATCATGATTTATTTTAATGTCTCAGTGTGGTACAGGGTTGATACCATCATGATTTATTTTAATGTCTCAGTGTGGTACAGGGTTGATACCATCATGATTTATTTTAATGTTTCAGTGTGATACAGGATTGATACTTACTTACAACTCTCACCAATTTTAATTGAAATCCTCTAAAGATAAGCAAACCTTTTTACCTTAATCAGATGCTGCACTGTGCTCCAGCTCCTTACAGAAGTACTTCCAGATAAAAGGTCATAATTGTTTAAAGACACCTGTGAAATGTCAGCAGAGACTGTTAAAACATCTAGAGATTCCCTTACTTGATGCAGAATTAGACAGCTGTGATGAACGAGAATACACCGAGGATGACATGTACGAGTGGCTGGGAGGGGTAGCCGTTAACTCATGTCTGTAAGTTTAAATAACTATAGTTAAATAATTTTTGTTTTTCAGGGGTTCCTTAAAAGCTATTTTAGAGATTTTCAAGGATTTAATAAAGTCATGAAGAACAGATTCGACAGACTTCCAAAATATTATATACGTACCATAATTCATATGTTGTAGGATACCCTTCCTCTTTGTTTCTGTCCTTAACTGCATGGTTCTCTTGCTGCAATGTGCCTAGTTAGTGTTAAGTTAGAGCTATAATTATGCCATCAAAATAGTTTATGAATAGGTCTGGTAGTTTAGATGTGTGGTTGTCTGATATCACCTGTCAGTTGTCTTATATCACCTGTGTGGTTGTCTCATATCACCTGTGTGGTTGTCTCATATCACCTGTGTGGTTGTCTCATATCACCTGTGTGTTTGTCTTATATCACCTGTCAGTTGTCTTATATCACCTGTCTGGTTGTCTTATATCACATGTGTGGTTGTCTCATATCACCTGTGTGGTTGTCTCATATCACCTGTTTGGTTGTCTCATATCACCTGTGTGGTTGTCTCATATCACCTGTGTGGTTGTCTCATATCACCTGTGTGTTTGTCTTATATCACCTGTCAGTTGTCTTATATCACCTGTCTGGTTGTCTTATATCACATGTGTGGTTGTCTCATATCACCTGTGTGGTTGTCTCATATCACCTGTTTGGTTGTCTCATATCACCTGTGTGGTTGTCTCATATCACCTGTCATTTGTCTTGTATCACCTGTGTGGTTGTCTCATATCACCTGTGTGCTCATATCACCTGTGTGGTTGCCTTATATCACCTGTCAGTTGTCTTATATCACCTGTGTGGTTATCTTATATCACATGTGTGGTTGTCTCATATCACCTGTTTGGTTGTCTCATATCACCTGTGTGGTTGTCTCATATCACCTGTCATTTGTCTTGTATCACCTGTGTGGTTGTCTCATATCACCTGTGTGCTCATATCACCTGTGTGGTTGCCTTATATCACCTGTCAGTTGTCTTATATCACCTGTGTGGTTATCTTATATCACATGTGTGGTTGTCTCATATCACCTGTGTGGTTGTCTCATATCACCTGTGTGGTTGTCTTATATCACCTGTGTTGTTGTCTCATATCACCTGTCAGTTGTCTCATATCACCTGTCTGGTTTTCTTATATCACCTGTGTGGTTGTCTTATATCACCTGTCAGTTGTCTTATATCACCTGTGTGGTTGTCTTATATCACCTGTGTGGTTGTCTCATATCACCTGTGTGGTTGTCTCATATCACCTGTTTGGTTGTCTCATATCACCTGTCAGTTGTCTTATATCACCTGTGTGGTTGTCTTATATCACCTGTGTGGTTGTGTCATATCACCTGTGTGGTTGTCTCATTTCACCTGTGTGGTTGTTTATATCACCTGTGTGGTTGTCTCATATCACCTGTGTGGTTGTCTCATTTCACCTGTGTGGTTGTTTATATCACCTGTGTGGTTGTCTCATATCACCTGTGTGGTTGTCTTATATCATCTTTGTGGTTGTGTCATATCATCTGTGTGGTTTTTATATGCCCCTTATTTGAAATGAAATTATGGTCCAGTCAGATCTTGTTAATGTTCAAAATTCACAAAATCAGCACAATTTCTGATCGATCTTTAGTTGGAGGAAATTTGTATTTCGGACACATAAACAATTTGTTTGGAATAATGACTTTAATTCCTTATTGTATATATTCTTCGATGTTTTGAAAAATTCTCAGTAATTACCACTTCCATTTCACAACTTGATCATTTAAGGTAAGGTACAAAGTTTGACAGATCTTAAGATATAAATTACACATTTTCAAAGGTGAAAACGTAGTTAAGCATTCTAATGCATTAAAGTGATTTGTTGTACACTCATGGTCAGTGACAGTTATATCAACGAACAGCAATGTTGATGTACAGATTACACATTTCTGGAGTTATGCTTTATGACAGGTGATCCAGATAGCTACTAACCTATGGTTACCCGGGTCAGACACGGGAAGCTGACCATTTTGTCTATGTCCATTATACATGTAATGTTTCTATTGGTAGGAATGGTGATCCAGATAGCTACATTACAACATATCGTTACCCGGGTCCAATGCGAGAAGCTGACCATTCTGTGTATGTCCAGTACAAAGGTTTCTTTTCTCCCAGCACCATACATGAGGTGTTGGAGGAGCTCAGGTATTCTTATGATTTATCCAGCAATAAGCCCTGGGAATAAGCCTGCTGATGTCTATATCTGTTCATTAATTTATCAGTTGGTATTTCAATCTTCTGTAATAAGCCAGCCCCATGACTTTGAGTAAGAAATTATGTGTTTGCCGCTGAGCTTATAGTAAGACTGATAGTGATGAAGATTTGATCTTAATTAGAACCAGTACACTATTGTACTGTGTTGAACATAATCTTATGTGTAGATCTTGACATTATATGGACTTAAATGGACTTAACGAAAAAGAAGCATTTGCTTGTAAACATGTCTTCAATATACTGTGAACTTGTATCACTCCTGTAAAAATCAATGATGAAAATTTTATACTTTTTCAAACATTAGCAATAGTTAACCCAGTCATATATCTACACTTGTATAAACGTTATCTGACTACAGGGTTTGTTCTTGTGAGTCTAGCTACATAATTTGTATCGGACATTTTGGACAGTTTTCACCCCGCACCACATGTTTACTTTTGTTGAAGTACTCTGTTTCAATAATCTGACATGACTATAGTTTAGATGATACTAACAAATTTAAAGTGGTACCCAAGTACATGATGATAATTGAACAGCTGCTGTACTTAGAAATGATTAACTCTGCATCACAATCAGGAGTTTAAAAGAATCATATTAGTGTAGGTTCTACTGTCTAAACTCACACCGCTATTTTAAAACTATTAATTTGCAATTTCATGACTTTGCAATTCAATGAAATGTTTTTAGATATTTAGTAAAGGATAATTCTTCATAACAGTCATCGTTTTTTGAAGTCATTAAATATTGAATATTATGAAATTTAGTCATTTTGGATCAGTGTACTTCTCTGTCTGGTTTTGACCAATTTTGGATTTTCCTAATTGCCTCCAAGGTTTCAACAGATTAGGCTCTTAGCAACACTGAAAAGTCTTCGGAGGATGAAACAACAGTATGATGCAGGTTTATTCCTTATTTGACTTTAATCTATCTAATTCTTTACTTTTATGGCAAGGTGCTATTGTGTCTTTTGTAAAATCTCCATTTACTAAGTCAAAAGAGCACAGTTTCACTTTGTAATAAGACATTTGACTATAGTGATAGAAGACTATAAGCCTCTTCCAATTTTCTTGGCGTTCTGAACTACATCAGATTAGCAGAAAGCAGTGTCCCTCTAAACATTTTTTTTGCAGAAAATACCTACAGAAGGCGAAAATTCCCTGGGCGTGTATGACAGTTCATGGACTTGTTGACGCACCAGTATCGTGGGGAACTAAGGATCATGGTTTTCTATCTAGTGGTGACAATATTTACTCATTTCTGGTGTTTCAGGACCAACGTTATTGGTGCTATAAAGCTTTCTCCTTCTATGATGTTGTTGAATAAATAAAGTGTTAACACAAACATATGGTTCTTTTTACTATGAAGTGACTTATTATCTAGCATACATATAGAATTTTATATTATGATAGAATCCATTATTTCAGTATCTCACTGCTTATCCACATGATGATGGATTGATATCAGTAATCCCATTGACTTTTACTGGGTATCAACTGAACTTTGTTTTCAGAGTCAGTAGAGCATGTATGATTTCAAGTGACGTGTGACCAAGTTAAGAAAACCAGCTCTAGGCCTGTTAAATGGCATTAGCTTATACACATATACAAAGAGTGTCCTAGGCCCAGTTAGAAGTGGAACAAGGACGTTAAGCTCCCAAAAAGAAAGAAAGAAACATATACAAAGATATGTAAGCAAATCCATTGTAGACATGCATAATGTGTTCCTGTTTTTCTCATCTCGCTGACTACAAACTGTAGTTACTCCTTCATTACAGTCATGAGTGACACGGTGTTGAAAACATGACAAATTATGAAAATGTCCGGACAAAGTGACAGCTGTTTCCAATGAGAGATCATCTAGTCACACAGGCACCGCCGTCTCTCGTGTCTATTACCAGTAAAATTCAAGATGTCACCGATATAAAATTCCCATTTCACCCTGTAAGATGTAAGTGCTGAATATCATCAATACCATTGAACTAAGAAATTACAAAAGTTAGTTTGATTATTAAGAATTTCTTCTTTCGGAACTTTATTTTTTGACTGTCATATTGGCAGGAAGACCTGGCATCATATGGGGACTATTTCTGATCAAACCAAAATTAAGGCATGAACATTTGAAGTATGATATCAATATTTGGAATGGACTGCAAAGTAAAGAGTCCATTAAAAATATTAATAACATCCATTGACGAAAGTTGTTCAAAGACTGGTCAGAAATATAGCAAGTGGTTGGGAAAATTTTCAAAGGTGGGTAAAACAAATCTGTGAACACTTATCATTTCAGTTTAGATTTGCTGAGACAAGTCAAACTGATATTTTGTGTCGGGTTTGTTTTTCAAGTCCAGGTTTTTACAGCAGCAAGAAGCAACAATTTGAATTTTTCACTCACCACTTGTTAACACTAACGATCAGGAGACAGAAAGACAATTTAATCCATAATTACAGGATTTTGAACAACATGCATGACAATGGAATAAAAGTTCTTATAACACAGCCAGTATAAGTTTAGAGTGTGATGTTACAATGACTACATGGTCAGACAAGTGACCAGTGTGAAGCAAAATAGCACTGGCGAACTTAGTGTAAGAGATGGTAAGGAATGGACTAACTTTTTCTGCTGCACTACAATCCTAAGTACACTGAGGTCAAAAGTGTGATGAGATGGTAAAAGGTTATAGACCAAACGAGATCCCAGTGGGATCTTGGCGCCCACCATTTGAGGATCTGTTTTCGGTTCTTGAAGATTTGCTTATTTTTTTTTTTGCAGGTGTTGTAAATGTTCATGAACTGGTCTTCATTGAATGTACTCAATGATTGCACAAGATATTTTTATTAAGCAACTATTAGCAAATATCATTTGAAAAAGATCCCAAAGTATTATTAGATAGCAGTCAGTTACAGGTGGATAATGGACATGGTCTTGAATCAATATGATAGAATATCAAAGAAAATATGCTTGTGCTGTATTACTGTCGACATCCAAGATGGCTGCCTGTGGGCCACCTTGATTTCAAATCAGTCCAAAAAAGGTACAATGCACAACTAGGGACCAAGGGAAACCAATATCTATGAAATATCAGAAGGATCTATCCAGTACTTTCTCAGAAATAGCTGTAAAAAACTTTTACTTTCAAAATAAAAGAAGGTCGACAAACGTCCATCTTGAATTGGAATCAGTCCAAAAAAGGTACACTGCACAACTAGGGACCAAGGGGTACCTGCATATGAAATTTGTGAAAGATTCATCCAAGTAATTTCATAGAAATAGCAGTAACAAACTTTTACTTTCAAACTCCAAGATGGCTGCCTGTCAGTCATCTTGAATTTGAATCGGTCCAAAATAGGTACAATGCACAACTAGGGACCAAGGGGAAACTGCATATGAAATTTGAGAAAGATCCATCCAGTACTTTTCCAGAAATAATGGTAACAAGAATTGTTTACAGATGGACGGACGGCTCGACGGACGGACCACGGACGCAGGGTGATTTGAATAACCCACCATCTGATGATGGTGGGCTAAAAATACAACAGATGGTAACAATGTACTGGAGTCAATACAGCTATGCTTTGTTTAACACTTGGTCATACATGTTTAAGAGTCTGTGGCCCCATAATACATAGAAGAAAAAGGCAGGAGATTCGGGGTCCGACTCAATGAACATCAAAAAGACGTGAAATTCCAAGAACGCAAAAAATTCACCAGATCATAGTAAAAACATTCACAGTCCAATATCAATAAATTTGCAATTACAGATCATTCCACAAAGCAAAATCATATCATTTCCAAATAGTTAACAGGGACAACAACCTTTTCAGAAGGTTGGATAAGGAAGCTACCTGAATACACCACAGCACGCCAGTACTTAATAGGGATGAGGGGGGCCACAGACTCTTGTATTAACTGATTTTATGACCCTGGGATCAGATCTCATGATGAGTTAAAACAATCCTGTTTCAATAACCATCTTTAAAGTACAATGAAAACAAAATATCAAAAAAGGTTTATCTGTTTTATTATGATATAAAATTGCAATAAAACTGGACAAATAAAAATTCAACAAGCTGAATACAACAGCAAAGTATTCAATGCACAAGTATATAAAGGTGCTTCCTTGCTACGCTGACAATTTTTTATGAAGTTACATTGATATTAGAGTAAAGAATTAGAAGTAGGCTTTATCAATCCTTATATACCTTAATACAATCCATATCTTCTAGCTTATGGCCATAAGTTACATCAACATCGTCTTAATAGCATACAGATCTGATCAGTAATTTACAACCCTCCTGAAAGTCATAACTACATCAAACTTAATTTCAAGAATGTTGTAGATTGGCTACAACCACTCCGATAATGTTAAAGGTAACAAGTTTACTTCAATCGCCCCGACAGAAGTCAAGGTAATGAGTTTGCAACAACTACCATCAAGGTCATGACTGAGATATGATAACCATGACAGAAGTCAAAGGTCATGACTGAGATACAATAACCTTGACAGAAGTCAATGGTCACGACTGAGATACAACAACCTTGACAGAAGTCAAAGGTCATGACTGAGATACAATAACCTTGACAGAAGTCAAAGGTCATGACTGAATTACAATAACCTTGACAGAAGTCAAAGGTCATGACTGAGATACAATAACCTTGACAGAAGTCAAAGGTCATGACTGAGATACAATAACCTTGACAGAAGTCAAAGGTCATGACTGAATTACAATAACCTTGACAGAAGTCAAAGGTCATGACTGAGATACAATAACCTTGACAGAAGTCAAAGGTCATGACTGAATTACAATAACCTTGACAGAAGTCAAAGGTCATGACTGAGATACAATAACCTTGACAGAAGTCAAAGGTCTGGACTCAGATACCACCAGTCTGACAAAAAAACTTGGACTTGGCTTCAACAACCTGACAGAATTTTAAGGTCACATTTTGGCTACAACCATCCTGACAGAATGTAAGGTAAAGGATACTTAAACAAACCTGTAGGTCATAGAAAGGCTATAAGTACAGGGTCAGGTCTAGAAGTTAAGTTACATCCACCTTGATTTTATGGGTAAGTTATATCATGATTGAGATGCAAGGGATAGTTAAAAAATGAAATATACCACAAGGCTTACTATGATCTAACACAAGTTTCTACAAACTACAGTATATACATGTATTTAGACTCAAATGGATTCCTGTTCAAGGACAGAATGTAACTCAAGTACTAGCTTGTTTACAGTAACTTCTAGCCGTTTGTTTACTAAAGATCCACGACTAAGAATAAGTACTAGCTTGTTTACAGTAACTTCTCAGTCATTTGTTTACTAAAGATCCACGACTAAGAATAAGTACTAGCTTGTTTACAGTAACTTCTCAGTCATTTGTTTACTAAAGATCAACGACTAACAACAATAAGTACTAGCTTGTTTACAGTAACTTCTAGCTGTTTGTTTAGTAAAGATCCACAACTAACAACAATAAGTACTAGCTTGTTTACAGTAACTTCTCAGTCGTTTGTTTACTAAAGATGTATAACTAATGTAACATAGAGATATAGTTTATATAACAACAAGAAGCTATTGCTGGCTGTTATTAACTGTGCCATCCCATGACTTATACAAATACAACACAATCTATGAGTGACTTAATTACTTTGTTACAATTTCAGTCTTGCCATGGTTTATACACTTGAATGATGGCCTGAAACATCAAGCAAGGATGAAAAAAATGGCAACCTCATTTGCAGTGGAATATATGTGTTGTTAGTTTTGTCAAAGGTACCAGATATGACAATAACAATTTAATATTTTTCAAAGCACAGTCTGTTCAGATCTTATTAAATCAACATTTGGCTCATTTCTTCTATAAACATATCACTGAGTCAGCAACTAATAATTTCTAATTCTATAAAGAGTATTCAGATTTACATAGAAATCTAGGTATAAAGATGGCATCTTCAAACACAGCAGTAAAAATATGTGAATTAATATTTGGAGCTGATAGCTACCACATTGAACATCATGTGAGAGGCCTGTAGCATGATATTCAGAGCAACTGAGGTAAAATAATGGACACAATCATGACAGCAGTTTCCTGAGAAACAATAACTGCCCTGGAAAAGATCAAACCGAACACAATCAGGTCTTCACTTGAGTTTGTATAAACCAACCTCTACAAACTGAGATAGTGTCCTCCATTGATTAACATAATATAAAATAACAACCCAGCTATGTCTCTAAAACAAAATCACATGGAAAGCAGCAAGTTAATAAAAAATATTCCTTAAAACAATATTATACTTAAAATAAATCTTCAATGTCATGAAAATGTGTTTTTTTTTTCTAAAATTCACCTGTTACATGTTTACCTATCATACTAACACCTAGTGATATAGTGATTTCTCTAATGACATCTGACAAAATACATTTTTACTTTTACTAATTAATCTACAATTTCCAAGTCCTCTGAACAAATAAATAATTTTCATATACCAGCAAATGATTTCCAAACTAGGGGCAATGTTTGGCACTGAACTGAAAAACATCTTTGAAAGGACTTTGGATTTTTAGAAGAAAACGGGACAGTAACAACTACATTTGACAATGTCAACTGTACATGTGTTAATTTAACAGTTATTCGAGTAATTTGACAATGTCACCTGTTGATAAAACAGTGATTACTGTTGATCTGACCAGGACTTGTTGATCTGATAGTGACAAAAGCTGATTAAAAACTGATGTGTGTAATCTGAAAATGCCACCTGTTGACCTGACAGTGACACTTGTAGATATGAAAGTTACACCTGGTGACCTGACAGTGACACCTGTAGATGTGGTAATTACACATGTTGATCAAACAGTGACACCTGTAGATCCGGTAATTACACATGTTGACCTGATATTGACACCTGTAGATCTGGTAATTACACCTGTTGACCTGACAGTGACACCTGTAGATCTGGTAATTACACCTGTAGGTATGACAGCGACACCTGTAGATCTGGTAATTACACCTGTTGACCTGACAGTGACACCTGTAGATCTGGTAATTACACCTGTTGACCTGACAGTGACACCTGTAGATCTAGTAATTACACATGTTGATCTGACAGTGACACCTATAGATCTGGTAGTTACACCTGTTGACCTGACAGTGACACCTGTAGATCTAGTAATTACACCTGTTGATCAAACAGTGACACCTGTAGATCTGGTAATTACACCTGTAGGTATGACAGTGACACCTGTTGGTCTGTCGAGGACTCATGTTGATGTGATCTGTGTTGAACTGAAATTAACACCTGAGATCTATGTGGTCACATTGTTATTTCTAGATCTCTGCTACCTTTTATACAATGAGTAATACACAGGCTATTTGAATCCAGTACCTATGGTTATACCATATCTATTATTTACTAGACCATCTAACTGAATGAGACTTTTAACATTTTGTTGATACATGTACATATACCTATACATCGAGAGACCTCTATCGTTAAGGAAACTGTAATTCAAACATTGAATTGATTTAATGTCATGAAAGTTAACTCACAAAGCATGTAGAGTCAACAGAACCACCAGGTTGTAAACACTGTTCATACAACACACTGTCAACTGTATCAAACATCACATTTCTCAAGGAAAACTAGAGTGTCTGACTACTTCCCTAAACTGTATCAAACTTCACATTTCACAAGGAAAACTAGAGTGTCTGACTACTTCCCTAAACTGTATCAAACTTCACATTTCACAAGGAAAACTAGAGTGTCTGACTACTTCCCTAAACTGTATCAAACTTCACATTTCACAAGGAAAACTAGAGTGTCTGACTACTTCCCTAAACTGTATCAAACTTCACATTTCACAAGGAAAACTAGAGTGTCTGACTACTTCCCTAAACTGTATCAAACTTCACATTTCACAAGGTTTGTTACGAGTTTCTACTTTAGTGTATTAGATTGACATACTAATAAGCTTTGTACAGACTGTGTCTATAATAAAGCAGCCATAATGATAATATAATATGTAGTAGATTCACTCTACTTAAATACTAATACTGTATTCATACTAAAGTCTTTCAAACACAAATTTTTCAATTACACATGTATCACAATGAGAAGAACTCTGTATGAAATGTATTTTATTAAATATATATCTGATTATAAAAACTTAATTTTTCTTTTCAAACACTGAATCAACATCAGACATAAACTATTTGAAATATCAATTTTGAGGACTTTCTTCTTATAAAAAATGATCCTTTAACCCGTTATAATCTGGTACAATCATAATGACTGATAAACAAAAGATAAATAATGTCTGTATATATATGTTTACATACTAATAATATCTGAAAGCAGTAATCCCCTATTATAGTGAAAGATCTTCGTGTACCAGCAATCATACTTAACATAATATCTAAGAGTACAATACACTCATTAGAGTGGAAGACAGGTCATACTCTGGGATAGTAGGCTGATTCAAAGTAGAAAGTTTTGCCTCTTGTCTACTATATATTGAAGGGATGCCCTATTATTCCATCATAATCTTACATGGACTCCTCAGATGATAAATTTTACACTGATACACAATGCACATACAGTAATTACAAAAAAATAAAATGTTTTAAACAATTTTATATATGGTGTTAATATCATTAACGTATGAATTTTCCACTTAGTGATAGAATGATTGAATTCAAAATTCAGGAAGACAGCAAAAACAAATATTGATACTGTCATACGGACACTGCAGACATATAACTGATTAAATTTTGTCTCCTATTGGTGGGGAATATTTGAGTTAAGACCATATAACATGTGATTTGTAGGGAATCAGAATGCTTAGAATTATAGACTTTTTACAATAAAATGTTGCTATATTTTCTAGCTTTGTGGAAAGTTGATTCTATCTTAAAGCATTAGTGTGTAATGGTAGTATGGACAAAATATCACTGAGATAGCTTGGATACAGATCTTGTACAGGTAAGTTTATATTTCACTAAAGCTTCCACATGAAACAAATTTATCTTTGACATCTTCACAGTTGAATCACTTTTTAAGTTGTACAGAGTTATAAATAATTCAGGCTTCAACAGGAAGCAATTTCATACAGAAGATACACTTAATCAAAGCTACCAAAACTACCAAAACTTCCACAACTTCCAAAACTGCTGAGAGAGCTCCAACTGCCATGGCGACCAAATCCCCATCCTCCAAAACCACCTCCCATCATTCTAGATGCACCGTAACCTAGGGCAGCACCACCAATTAAACCTGAAGGAAAAAAAATAATTTGGTAGCCATGGCAATCTGATGGCGATAAAACAAAGTATAAAAATTTATTAACTGAAAAACACTGTATACAAAAAAAGGACAACCTCTCCTGGTTTCGATAAACACAGAACATAAAATGTCTATGAAAGTGGTTTTAACAGGTTCCTATAATTATTTGCTTTCAGCAATAGTTTTAAATCATTTGACATTTCAGGTTTTGTGCTTCTGCTAGTTAACAAACATGGAGACAATGTATTGCTGCTAAATACTTCATTGTTTATTGCAACATTTACTTTTGTCTCATTTATCAGTAAAGATATCAGTGGTAAAACCAAACCATTGATACAGTAGACTGTTTACCTGCTGCCAAACCACTGATACAGTAGACTGTTTACCTGCTGCCAAACCATCGATACAGTAGACTGTTTACCTGCTGCCAAACCACTGATACAGTAGACTGTTTACCTGCTGCCAAACCACTGATACAGTAGACTGTTAACCTGCTGCCAAACCACTGATACAGTAGACAGTTTACCTGCTGCCAAACCACTGATACAGTAGACAGTTTACCTGCTGCCAAACCACTGATACAGTAGACTGTTTACCTGCTGCCAAACCACTGATACAGTAGACAGTTTACCTGCTGCCAAACCACTGATACAGTAGACTGTTTACCTGCTGCCAAACCACTGATACAGTAGACTGTTTACCTGCTGCCAAACCACTGATACAGTAGACTGTTTACCTGCTGCCAAACCACTGATACAGTAGACTGTTTACCTGCTGCCAAACCACTGATACAGTAGACTGTTTACCTGCTGCCAAACCACTGATGCAGTATACTGTTTACCTGCTGCCAAACCACTGATGCAGTATACTGTTTACCTGCTGCCAAACCACTGATGCAGTATACTGTTTACCTGCTGCCAAACCACTGATACAGTAGACTGTTTACCTGCTGCCAAACCACTGATACAGTAGACTGTTTACCTGCTGCCAAACCACTGATACAGTAGACTGTTTACCTGCTGCCAAACCACTGATACAGTAGACTGTTTACCTGCTGCCAAACCACTGATGATGCAGTAGACTGTTTACCTGCTGCCAAACCACTGATACAGTAGACTGTTTACCTGCTGCCAAACCACTGATACAGTAGACTGTTTACCTGCTGCCAAACCACTGATGCAGTAGACTGTTTACCTGCTGCCAAACCACTGATACAGTAGACTGTTTACCTGCTGCCAAACCACTGATACAGTAGACTGTTTACCTGCTGCCAAACCACTGATACAGTAGACTGTTTACCTGCTGCCAAACCACTGATACAGTAGACTGTTTACCTGCTGCCAAACCACTGATACAGTAGACTGTTTACCTGCTGCCAAACCACTGATACAGTAGACACCTGCTGCCAAACCACTGATACAGTAGACTGTTTACCTGCTGCCAAACCACTGATACAGTAGACTGTTTACCTGCTGCCAAACCACTGATACAGTAGACTGTTTACCTGCTGCCAAACCACTGATACAGTAGACTGTTTACCTGCTGCCAAACCACTGATACAGTATACTTTTTACCTGCTGCCAAACCACTGATACAGTAGACTGTTTACCTGCTGCCAAACCACTGATACAGTAGACTGTTTACCTGCTGCCAAACCACTGATACAGTAGACTGTTTACCTGCTGCCAAACCAATGATACAGTAGACTGTTTACCTGCTGCCAAACCACTGATACAGTAGACTGTTTACCTGCTGCCAAACAACTGATACAGTAGACTGTTTACCTGCTGCCAAACCACTGATACAGTAGACTGTTTACCTGCTGCCAAACCACTGATACAGTAGACTGTATACCTGCTGCCAAACCACTGTAGACTGTTTACCTGCTGCCAAACCACTGATACAGTAGACTGTTTACCTGCTGCCAAACCACTGATACAGTAGACTGTTTACCTGCTGCCAAACCACTGATACAGTAGACTGTTTACCTGCTGCCAAACCACTGATACAGTGCCAAACCACTGATACAGTAGACTGTTTACCTGCTGCCAAACCACTGATACAGTAGACTGTTTACCTGCTGCCAAACCACTGATACAGTAGACTGTTTACCTGCTGCCAAACCACTGATACAGTAGACTGTTTACCTGCTGCCAAACCACTGATGCAGTAGACTGTTTACCTGCTGCCAAACCACTGATGCAGTAGACTGTTTACCTGCTGCCAAACCACTGATGCAGTAGACTGTTTACCTGCTGCCAAACCACTGATACAGTAGACTGTTTACCTGCTGCCAAACCACTGATACCAAACCAAACCACTGATACAGTAGACTGTTTACCTGCTGCCAAACCACTGATACAGTAGACTGTTTACCTGCTGCCAAACCACTGATACAGTAGACTGTTTACCTGCTGCCAAACCACTGATACAGTAGACTGTTTACCTGCTGCCAAACCACTGATACAGTATACTGTTTACCTGCTGCCAAACCACTGATACAGTAGACTGTTTACCTGCTGCCAAACCACTGATACAGTAGACTGTTTACCTGCTGCCAAACCACTGATACAGTAGACTGTTTACCTGCTGCCAAACCACTGATACAGTAGACTGTTTACCTGCTTACCTGCTGCTGCCAAACCACTGATACAGTAGACTGTTTACCTGCTGCCAAACCACTGATACAGTAGACTGTTTACCTGCTGCCAAACCACTGATACAGTAGATTGGTTACCTGCTGCCAAACCACTGATACAGTAGACTGTTTACCTGCTGCCAAACCACTGATACAGTATACTGTTTACCTGCTGCCAAACCACTGATACAGTAGACTGTTTACCTGCTGCCAAACCACTGATACAGTATACTGTTTACCTGCTGCCAAACCACTGATACAGTATACTGTTTACCTGCTGCCAAACCACTGATACAGTAGACTGTTTACCTGCTGCCAAACCACTGATACAGTAGACTGTTTACCTGCTGCCAAACCACTGATACAGTAGACTGTTTACCTGCTGCCAAACCACTGATACAGTAGACTGTTTACCTGCTGCCAAACCACTGATACAGTAGACTGTTTACCTGCTGCCAAACCACTGATACAGTAGACTGTTTACCTGCTGCCAAACCACTGATACAGTAGACTGTTTACCTGCTGCCAAACCACTGATACAGTAGACTGTTTACCTGCTGCCAAACCACTGATACAGTAGACTGTTTACCTGCTGCCAAACCACTGATACAGTAGACTGTTTACCTGCTGCCAAACCACTGATACAGTAGACTGTTTACCTGCTGCCAAACCACTGATACAGTAGACTGTTTACCTGCTGCCAAACCACTGATACAGTAGACTGTTTACCTGCTGCCAAACCACTGATACAGTAGACTGTTTACCTGCTGCCAAACCAATGATACAGTATACTGTTTACCTGCTGCCAAACCACTGATACAGTAGACTGTTTACCTGCTGCCAAACCACTGATACAGTAGATTGGTTACCTGCTGCCAAACCACTGATACAGTAGACTGTTTACCTGCTGCCAAACCACTGATACAGTAGACTGTTTACCTGCTGCCAAACCACTGATACAGTAGACTGTTTACCTGCTGCCATTTTTGTAGCATTGCTCCCTCCAAGTCCTCCAAGTCCGCCACTTTTCTTTTTACTTCCTTGCTGTACATACACTACTTGGGGCTGTTGTTGGGGTGGGGGTGCATATCTTTGTTGTTGGTAACCATAAGCTGAAAAATAATAATCCATAGCCTTTTAATGTCTTTCCCTCTTTACTTTGACTGCCAGAAGTCTCCAAATACACACAAGAGATGTGAAAACTGAACTAAGCACATCTTTAATGCTAAGAATGTCACAGAAAAAGTGAGAAAAAATTCGAAAATGGAAGAAATGTTTTAAATAAGACTGTGTTCACTTAATAGATGAATTTTCATACATTCTTAGCTGAACAATGGTAGGAATATGAATATGGTTATAACATTGACTGAAATGTGACAAATGTTAGCCCTTTGTAATGGCAATACATAAAACAAATTCAATTTCAAATTTTGACGAGTACAAGTTGGTATATACAAAGTACATGAACAATAGGAGTTATCTTGTTTGTAGAGGAGTTGTTTTGTGTCTCATGTGGTGAATTTAAAAGGAATTAAATCTCATCAATATATCACAAGGTTTTGGGGAACTTAAGTAGTAATGGAAAACATGTCTGAAAGAAGGGAAATTAAATCTTTCATCTTTTTTCAGTTTTCACAAATATTCTCACAATGAAAAGTACCTCAATGCAGTCAGAAGCCAGAGTTTAAACAATATCTTCCTGTTTAAGTGCTTCATTGTTTTCTTTGATTCTTTGTCTATGGGCGGTAATAAGCTTAAATCTCCATACAGAATCTTTCCCTATGAAGTAACCATGCTTGATTGTCAACAGAATTGCCCAAATGACATGTCTAAAATCACCTCCATTTCCAAAGAGTTCCTACTGTAATTGTGATAATTATTGTAATTTTACTTGACCTTGGTGGAAATCACTGGGAAGTTTTATGGTCATCAAAGTGATCTCATTGAGAAATGTTCTATATCTTTGTGTGTTATGAAACTGGATGTGATTGATGTTCCTAAGTTTGCCTGTTGGTCAATGATAACGAATTAGTTAATGGTTTCCTACAATGGCAGTGCTCATATTGGTCTTGATCTAGAAACACTGAAAAAGGAATTGACAAATTTAAAACTAAGTAAATTGTTAGTATGATAACAATAAATTGGACATGAAAAGGGATAGATATTGGTAATGCTACACCTTTCTCACTCATCAATGTGTTATTAAAGTTTCAACTGTGTAAAACATAGTTTATGAAACAACAATGATATACACAGGTCTTCTCATCAATTATAAGTCACACTACAGTCAATACAGTACTTGGGTAAGTTTGGTAATGCTCTAACCACCCAAGTGTACAATATTGACATTTTTCTTATGGCTAGTATATGATAACAAAGGTGTTATCTAGCCATGCAACAAGCTGTAACCAAAGCTAGGTCAATCACCTAACCCTACTTGTCCAACTGACCAACCCTACATCTACTTACGCAAGCTGTATGTTATAACCATGTGATATTCAGAAGTCTAACATTTGATACATTGGTTGTGGTGCTTTCATTAATAATAGCAAGCTGTAAAGTAAACTGATCAAATGCTTACCTGGTTGGGGGGCATATCCTTGCTGAGGGTAGGGCTGATATTGCTGCTGGGGGTAGCCTTGAGGGGGTGGGGCATACTGCTGCGGTGGGGGAGGGCCATACCCTGGCTGTTGTGGGTAGGGACTAGGCTGGTAAGGGGCCTGAGGATATGGCACACCCCCTGGCTGAGGTTGTTGTGGATAGCCACCTGAAATGTTAAGAATGCATTATCCTGACATTTTCTCCAATCCGTCTTTAGAATATACCATATACATTTTTATAAATGTCCAAGGGCCTGATATTTTCTAAAGAGGAGACATTCAAAGGAGTAAAAAATATTAAAATTTTCACTGACACACAATGGTGGATAAAAGTGATCACAACATGTCACCATGAGACTTTGTTTTAGCGGTCACTTCAGACATGAACATCTATAAACCAAATTTAAGTACAGCAATTGGTTTACGTTCACAATACCTGCATATCCATCAAAGCCTATTCCCCCTGGGGCCGGAGGGGCTGCAGAGTATGGGGGAGGGGCAGCCCCTCCATAACCAGGCTGAGGCTGAGGCGGGTACTGAGCATGAGTTTGTGGAGCAGTCTGGGCCTGTATGGGTGCCTGCTGACTTTTTTGAGAGTGATGCTGTGGTGGAGGTGGAAGCTGTAAGATACAAGAGAAACATAAGTGAGCTCTAACGTCATGTGAAAGTGGAATGGTGATCCTAGGTGTCTAATCCATGTATTGTAAAGATCAAAGAAGGTCAGTAATAATAGAGATCTTCTAAAAATATCGATCATAGTGAGAACATAGAGTGATCAAACAATTACTGAATATCAGAAGTGATGTCACCAATTTTCAGCAGTAAGCTGAGAGAGTTTCTAATGTAATTTAAGACAAATGTATCAAACACAGGAATCATTCTTGGAGATTTCAGTGAGAACCAGTAGTGTAGCTCACTTACAGTGCTGCATATGGCTGTCATCCACTCACTGTTAATAAAAGAAAAAATATCAATAAAAGAATTCCCAAAACTTTTAACAAACAAACAAATATATAACAATTTATTATTAGAATCAACATTATCCACGAAGATGAACTCAAATCTGTTCGATAGAATTCTTAAGTTCAAAACTGAAATTGTTCTGGAGATATTTCGATATATCTCTTATCTTTAATTTTGATTTATCATCAGGGATTGGGTTATAACAGGACTATCTGCCCAGGGGTCAACACATCATCTCTGACCTAACGTCAGGGATGGGGTTATTACAGGACTATAAGCCCAGGGGTCAACACATCATCTCTGACCTAACGTCAGGGATGGGGTTATTACAGGACTATAAGCCCAGGGGTCAACACATCACCTCTGACTTAACGTCAGGGATGGGGTTATAACAGGACTATAAGCCCAGGGGTCAACACATCACCTCTGACCTATCGTCAAGGATGGGGTTATAACAGGACTATACGCCCAGGGGTCAACACATCACCTCTGAATTAACGTCAGGGATGGGGTTATTACAGGACTATAAGCCCAGGGGTCAACACATCACCTCTGACTTAATGTCAGGGATGGGGTTATTACAGGACTATAAGCCCAGGGGTCAACACATCACCACTGACTTAACGTCAGGGATGGGGTTATTACAGGACTATAAGCCTAGGGGTCAACACATCACCTCTGACTTAACGTCAGGGATGGGGTTATTACAGGACTATAAGCCCAGGGGTCAACACATCACCTCTGACTTAACGTCAGGGATGGGGTTATTACAGGACTATAAGCCCAGGGGTCAACACATCACCACTGACTTAACGTCAGGGATGGGGTTATTACAGGACTATAAGCCTAGGGGTCAACACATCACCTCTGACTTAACGTCAGGGATGGGGTTATTACAGGACTATAAGCCCAGGGGTCAACACATCACCTCTGACCTAACGTCAAGGATGGGGTTATAACAGGACTATACGCCCAGGGGTCAACACATCACCTCTGACCTAACGTCAGGGATGGGGTTATTACAGGACTATAAGCCAAGGGGTCAACACATCATCTCTGACCTAATGTCAGGGATCAGCTAATATATAGGGTTTATTGATGATTTCAAGACAGCAAAATAGTTGAGCATTGTACACCTACTGGAGTTCTGCATCACTTGCGGCCAGGAACCAGTATATCTTTGCCTTGCTATTGTTTCTGGTCGGGACAGCCAACATTTGGCTGTAAGAAGTACCTGATGGAACCTGTGGACGTCCCTCCATACCATCAGTGTAGGTTCCAAAGGCAAATCTCTTGGATACATCCTTTAAAACAAACAGTCTTGAGCAGAATGTTCCTCATTTTTTGAGAGCAAAACCTTAGGTGAATCTTAATTTGGAACAAACCACAGAGATGTAATTTACCCACGAAACTCAATTGTGATATCAAATTAAACTCAGTTTTGGAATAGCATATTCTGTGAAAGGTGTCAAACCCTTCCAAACAAAAGGCCAAATGGGCCTTTATCACTCACTTAGTATTCAATGGTTTTCACAATTACATTAACATTTTCACAACACTAACATTTAAAATCTTGTTTAATGAGAAAAAATCATTTGAAAGTTAAGAAAAAATTGACTGATATGACTTCGAAATGGGTCAAGGTCATTTCTTTCCAAAAACATTGTTGAGCTTAACCTAAGGATTCTATCTGTTAAATATCATGATTTTAGGCCTTTTGCTTAAACAAAAATATTTTAACAAATTTGACCACTGTGACATGGAATATGTAATTCCTTTTTGCATACTTTGTGATACTTCATCACAGGAACCTATCAGTCAAATACAACACTAGGTCTTTTGGTCAATGAAACTTCATCTTTGTGACAACTTTACCAGGTCTTCATCCTAGGAACTTTCTTACCAAATATCATGATTCTAGGCCTTTCAGTTCATGAAAAGAACTTTTACCAAATTCCTGAAAATTTTGTTGGGCTTCATCCCAAGAAACTTCCCATAAGATAGGATTTTAACCTGTTGGTATTAGAAGGAGTCATTTAAAGGGAAAAACTGACACTGGACAGATACATATACATGATGCATAATGACATAAGTTCACAAGGCCTTGTGAGCAAGGAAAAACACATTAAGCTTACTTCATCATTCTCATATTAACTTAAAAATATATATATAAAGCTGCTGTAATTTTACTACAACACAGGAATTCCACAGAAGTGGATGTGTTGCCTACCCAGCAAGGTTTCTGGAAATCTTATGGAATAATAGTTATAGAGATTTATTGTATTTGTTCCATTTATATAATTTGTCTGAGATGTGATGAGTAATTCTGCAGATTAAATGCACAGTGTCAAAGGGAACTGAGTCACAAAGATAGATCCATATGCGAAAAATCAGAAATAAAAAAAAATCCTGATTTGCTGCAGGAACAGGAACAACCCAATTGAAAAGTGATCTTAAACAAGCTTCTTTGGTTAAGAAGCATCGTATGAAGTTTAAGTCTCATTGCCTAAAGAAAACTAAAGTTATCACATGAAAGCCAATCTCCAATATATGGTAACACTGTTTTTGACCTTTGGACCTAAAAGGCAATTTCAAGCAAGCACCTTTTGTAAGAAAGCACTGTCTGAAATTTGAGGATGATAGGCCACAGGGAAATGAAGATATTGTGAAAATACTATTTTTTAATTTATAGTAATGGTGACCTCGACCTTTGACCTTCAGACCTGAAAAGCAATCCCAAGCAAGCACTTTTATTAAGGAAGTGCTGTATGAAGTTCGATTTTTATTGGCCAAAGTGAACTCCGATTATCAAAAAAAAAAAAAACACACATTTGTGTGGACAACAGCAACTCTGCTAACATTAAAGTGATACCTATACATGCAATGAATTAATCTTTTGGAAGATCATTTTCTATGATACTTTTGAATTTTCAAAATTGACTCCATAACTTAAATAATAACAAGAAAACTGACCATGACCAGATACACAAGACATAAGATAGTATGAAATACCTATTTATTTAGTTACTCATTACACAGGTTTTGTGTCCACTATCACTGCCTGTCGACCTGTCAACCATTTGGTGAATGAGTCAAATACCTCCAATAACACATCTTTAATACTAGTATAAATCTATAAATAGCTTACCTTCATGTGAACTTTGCCTTTGACCTCATTGTCACCTTGACGTTTGTAGATTACAAGGTTGCTATCACTATACAGGATTACCCATACAGTCTGCCAGCCTCCAGAGAACATACTCTCTAGAGAACAATAATTATAATTAGACTTTTAGTACAAGTGCAGTATGTTAAGTGCTAAAAGATGTTTTCATGTTCCTTTCATTCTTTTTTCAATACAGATAATTCCTAATTAATTCTATGCATGAGTGCTTGTAAGCACAAAAGAAAAAAAAGCTTCTCATTATCAGGAAAATTTGTAGTTCACTACTTTGTCCAACAAACAGCTCTAGTTATTGACTAACATTACAAAAGTATGATCAATTCTAGGCAAATTGTCAAATTACTACTTAAATGATTTGTTAGATTGTAAATAAAACTTACTACTATACCGCTTCAAGTAACCAGACTTTACAATCTGTGTCATCTTGGTACTTTCTTTTCTTCTCTATCTGAAATAACACGTGTATGAACAGAAAGAATATCATATAATACACAACTTTTCATGTTGAAAGATCCCAAGTATTCTACAATGCAAGCTATATGGAATCATGACCCTGCTTAAATGATAATTTGGAATTTGCCTTGGCCACCAACTCAGTTTTTTATTTAATACTATAGTATATCCCATATGAAGAGAATCAGTGAACATTATCCTGTGCATACAGTATTACAAGAGTGATTCTTTATCAAAGTTGTATAAAAATTGTTTTTAAATCATTTTATTTCCAAATAAGAGTTTTTTTTAGCTAAAAGGTATTTCCCTTTCATTGTGAAGTCACAGGGACTTTCATCATCTTTAATATTGATAGATATATAGATTTACACTTCCAGCAAGTATTGGTTAATGTGAATTATTCCTGTTGAAGAATGAATACAGTTTAACCTATGTAATTTTGCCCTACTATTTTATTCACTTTTTTGGTTTTCCAAAAAAATATATAATGTACTTGTATCCAAAGTTTAAGCAATTATGATTCTGTAAAATGCATAACATTGGAATTTACATGAAGCAAGTACACTTATCTGGAATGCATAACAATACATTTATTTTACCTTGTACCCTTTATCCGAACTGAAACTGTTAGATCGTGACCTAGTTACAGTAGGTTATAATAAAAAAAACAAGAGATCTGTGGGTCTTAACAGTCATTTGACAATAAAGACCTTTATATACAATAGCTTAAGACTCTTTGGGCTGAAATTGCGCACTTGTTCTACTGTTACACAGAACACACAAAGTCAGTATTTGTTAATTTGAAATCCTAGTCATCAAGCATGCTAGTGCACAAATACCATGACCCAGACCCGCTGTTTGTTGAAAGAAAAAAAATTAAGTTCTCAACATATTTGTCTCCAGTGACATTGAAAGCAGGTTTATCATTTGAATGAACTTCCCTCCAAGCAATCTACATATCAAATATCAGTACCTTTGGCCTTTTGGTTATTGAAAAGAATTAATCAAAGTTATTTACAGATTTTAACACATTTGACCCCTGTGCCCTTGAAAAGGGGTCAAGGACATTTATTTGAACAAACTTGACCAACTTTTATCCAAGCATGTTACAGACCTAATATCAGAACATTTAGGCTTTCATTATTGAGAAAAAGTTGCTTAAAGGTAAAGTTTATGCATGGCACACAGTGATGGATGGAACTTAATGGCTATAGGTTATCCTAGCTTATACACATCATATTTATAACTAAAATTTCAAAAGACCAACATTTTATTTATTTATTAGGTCTGAAAGTTAGAAAATACCAGCATGTGATTTTAGATTTAAATCATGAACAAATATATAATGGGACAATTATGTACCTAGTCATTTGTATCAAGATTAATTATATTTACATGCAGTGACGCTGACTCACACACAGATGTATGTACACTAAAGGTCCAAAGAAAAGTGCCATAGGCCATGGATTTCTTTGAAAGAAAATATACAGAGCATTAGTTATATAGGTGTCAGTCTGGACTTCATTCAAACTGCTTTCATCTATTCCAGGACATTCTCACATAGGTTTTGTTTATCAGACCCCCTGTATATAATCCATACATCACTGTGATTTGTGCATGGTATTTAATTATTTTGAAGCAAGTTACTATAAAAAAAACTATATATGAGTTGATATTCTAGTCCTAATAGATAAAAAGGGTGAAGATAATGGAAATGTCCTCTGGGCCACTTACTAGTATAGATGTAAATTAAACCTGTTGATGAACTTTGTATGGGATCATACATTTATACACATTTATATCGAGAAGAGAACAATAACTGTATCTTAAGAAATCCTTAAATTCTACTGACTAGTACAGAGTTCGCAACGAGATGCTCCAATATCACGAATTTATGAAACAAAAACTGAGATACCGGTATATATTCTATCAACACATCTATAACTGCAGGCCTATAAATGGATCGGAAGACAATCTGTTACACTGTCAGCGAGTCGGCTCTAAACGGTCGTCTGTACAATAGAAATCAATCGTGTGATATGTAAATATATCAATTCGCAAAGGAACTGGCCTCCACCTAATGAGTAATCTATAAAAAAAAACGCACACACATTACAAAGCTGTTAGTGATATTGCCAGTGACAGACATGACGATGCAACGACATAATCCAAATTCCAATCACTTGTTAGGAACAGTTGTAGTCCGGTGCGACTGACTAACAAACGTGATAAGTAACCAAGATACCTAATTTGTATGTACATACCCTATCAAAAGTTATGAATGATCTAAAACCATAAAATCATCTCTCAGCAAGCCATCGGACAGGAGAGCACCATCACAAAATTACTATTAATATTTGACAGTCACAGGCTTTGCGTGTTCCTGTGTCTATGACGTGAATGTCAAACACTTTGATGATGTAGAATCATGAGGAGAAGACAACTCTGTTTCCCGCGAAGTTTCAACTCGGGTGACGTGAAGAATACAAGTTGTTTTTAAAGGGAAAATTAAACAAATTTATAGAGGTCTATTTTGCATTGCATATACAGTACTAGTAGGCGGATGTCACTCTCAGGTAATTAACAAAACAATCCAAACGTATCGAATGATGACGACAGTACAGACAAAATTATGTCTTTATGAAAAAATTGTCTATTCGAAAAAAAATGTCTTCTCAACCCCTTCAGTGACATATATATTGTTATACTTTTCATTACACTTTTTTGTGTACTTTTTCAATTTACTTTTTCATGTGTTAAAAATGCTCCAAGATACTTAGATGCCAGTGTTTTGTTGTCTGTCAAATGAACGAAAACTGACCATGCCTCCTTGCATTTTTTCTTATATAAATCCAGATATGAAAATTTGGTATTTGAAAATATATAGATTTTCAAATAATAATTTTTTGTTACTCAATTAATTTTTTAAGTAGCTAATTAGTTGTACCACGGACTTATATACACATGTGTATATAAGTCCGTGGTTGTACACTTGTATGAATATAGAATTATATTTGAACAGTTTGTGGTCTTAAACAAATATTAATGAAATGGCTCATTTGAAACAAAGAGAGAAAGAAAACTTCAATCTTATCAATTAAGAAAGATGCAAATTCAAACACAAATGACCACCATTTTATTTAGAAAAATTCATAATGTCTTTTTTGTTCTAATGATAGTTCTATGTGATGGAATTTACTAATTGACTGTGGAAGTGGAATTCTGAGACTACCAACTAAATGACAGAAAGCTATATGCATATTTACAGTTCAAGTCTGTTTAATAAAATGTATGTTTCCTGAGTAATATTAACAGGAGCTGGTGAAGTTAACAGAGGTTATGGTGAAATGAAATGTTCCTCAATACATAATAAAACAAAGAAAAAAAAGTGGGGAAATTTAGGGTGGCAAGGGGCTTCACACATTACTATGGGGAGGGGGGGGAGGTTCATTTCATCATTATGGTATTTTGACCCGGTTCATTTCCTCATGCTTCACAATACCTTGCTACACTGGGATCATGAAAAAGACTTAAGTCTAAGACTAAAATTGGACTAATGTTTGAAGTTTTTACTTAGCTAAGATTACAATTTTAAGTGGATCAGGAAACGTGCTTAGCAAAGAATAGTCTATTTTGGTAAAAGTCATGGCAACGCACGTTCCGATTCACAGTAATTTGTAGGAACTCTTCAACATGGGAAATTACATACGTCATTGTCTACAGTTTGTCAACAAAAACCTGTCAAATATTGAGCACAGCCCTGTAGCCTGACAATGTCTGTTAATTCTACGATTGGAAGGAGGTCCAACTGGACAGGTGATGACGAGGTTATGATGGTAAAGGAAGTGTTATCCAAGGAAAGATTGTTGTTTGACCGTGTTGGAAGGACACGAATGCAAAAACAAATCATATGGCAGGAAATTGCTGATCACCTGAATTTGTACATATTCGCATACAACTAGTGAAAATACAGTACATTCTTTTCATACATTACATGTTCGTTGTGTTCCATGAATTACAAATGCATTAATACGATATTATGTTGCCTTATATACAATATTTATAATAATATGTAATGTGTAAAAGTTGAGATTAATATACAGAGCACCTAACTAGCCTCGGCTAGTGTGAATTTCTATTTAGTGGTCAGTCAAGCAGTGTCCAGTGTGGCAGTTTTGTAAACATTTTCAGATATAACCCAGTTTTTACATAATTGCTAAGAAATCATTGGTATCAAATCAATTTTTATGATAAGCCTGAAAATGATCAAATAAATAGATAGAAATAAATGAAAAAAAAATGCACTTGCACCCAAGGCCAGCACCACATAATATTCATAATTATATACATGTACATATCCATCAGAAGAAAGTGATGAATTTTTGGAAATAGTCTTCCTTTCACTTTTCCCAGATTAGCTGGAACTGATTAGTTCAGAGAGATGTAGCAGAAGTAAAGGAGAAATACCAAGATATAATGAAGAAAGGTATAATCTTCGTGTTTATCACAAGAGTGCATTGTTACTCCGTGAATTACACACAATAGATACTATAGATACATGTACAACAGGCACGATGTCATGTTTTCTATCATATTTATTTGAAAAATCAGTCATGTAGTAAAAAAGGATATTAAGTTTGTTTGTTTGATATTTCAATTCATACATCAAATAAAAATTCATGCAAGATCCAATATAGTACATGAAAGTCAACCTGAGTAAGAGATTAAAATGTTTAACCTCAGTTTGATGTGGACAAAGATAAATCATCCTGAGGGTTGGTCCGAAATCCAAGATGGCCACCATGGCCGCCATTTTAAAAATACATTGAAAACACATTTTCAACTTCTTCTCAAGTTCTACTTGTGACATTGAGCTGAAACTTGCCTGAAATGATCGTGACATGGTCCTGACCAAAGTTTGTTAATTTCGGGTATGTCCAAAATCCAACATGGCCGCCATTTTGAAAATACATTAAAAACACAGTTTCAACTTCTTCTCAAGTTATACTTGTGACATTGAGCTGAAACTTACCTGAAATGAACATGACATTTTTAGTGTATAGATACTTTTGCTTTCAGATATATATAGAATCTGTGGAATGCCCGAGTACAGCAGATTACACTACATTTCATGCTTCAATATGGAAACTGCAGAAAAGGAATGTAAACATTACCTTAATAAACCACATTGATAGGATGCATTGTAATATATTGGAAAGTAACTGGTACATTTCCTTGTTGAAGATTGCTTAGTAATATGTGCAATATATCAACATATTGATTCAGTCCTAGGAAGGATTGTGACTGGATGTCCATCTTGTAATAAAGTGTATGTTAAATATTTCATTTGACACAATTCATGTTATTTAGCAAAAAGAAAAAGACAAAATATTTCCTATACAGGTACATACATGTATATATAATACAGAGTAAAATGTCTCCTCACTGATTTTCATTATGTCACAAACATGTTTAATTATCATAATACAATAGGTGTCAAATTAATTGGATATTTTGAGAACAATGCTCTGTAGCAAGGTGCTGTGATAGCTATTTAAATGATTTCAGGTACATGTGTATTTATACAAATAAATCTAAGATACATATATTATTATTTGATGATCCGACTTATTTCTCTTACCCAATGAGTGACCAGCAAAACATTGGCTTTAACATGTACCAAAATTGAGGAAAGATACTGACAAAATAAACAATGAAGATAGGAGACAGGAAACAACTTACCCTATCTGCACCTTTACACCCATGTAACTTTTGTATGATCCTTCTCTCAGCTGTTTATGTAACTTTGGTCAACAACTGATATCATACCTGTAATGCAGTGACAAATCTAGTTTAATACACACATAGTACATATATGATTAAGGTAGATAATGACAAGATATGTAATTACTTACTTCTAGAAAAGGGAACGGTAATGATTAAGGTAGATAATGACAAGATATGTAATTACTTACTTCTAGATGAGGGAACGGTAATGATTAAGGTAGATAATGACAAGATATGAAATTACTTACTTCTAGATGAGGGAACGGTAATGATTAAGGTAGATAATGACAAGATATGTAATTACTTACTTCTAGATGAGGGAACGGTAATGCACCTGCAAGCTTTAGTATACTATTTTGTTTGCCAATTATAGGACATGTTATATCTTGTCACTACTAATTTAATGCTAAATACCTGTGTTTACTAATGCTTTATCTTCCCAAATATATTTAAAAATGACATTTGTTTTAGTTATGAATGAATGGACTAATTATCACTATATACATAATCCATTTTGGTAACTAAACAAGAAAAAAATCTGAAAGCAATAGTATATATACACTAAAAATGTACCAACAAAAATACAAAAATATTTTTGAGCTTTCACACATCTTACTGTGTCTGTGATGTTGTGAGAATAAATTGTTTATGTTATCATTTTGATTAATGAATTAATTATGAATAACATTTAGTGGTCATTTGCTGTGTTGCAGTGAACTGTATCAGATGACTGGACAAATGAATAATTCTGAAAAGTATCTAAATGTACTAAAAAGTAAGGAGCAAGGTTACATGTATATTTCAACACTAACTAGATATTTCAGGTATATTTTTGTCATTTACATTGAAATCACACACCTGCTATAGCATGAAAGCTCGCTTGAACCTTCCAGCCACGGCCTTGGAAATGTAAATAGTCTTCTATAAGCTGATAAAACCTCTTGTTGCCAAGAACCTCAGGAACAGGAGTACCTGTATTAATGCAGGAAGACTCTGGGATCTCCTTGTTGGATGCTGTATTTGAGGCTCCACCATATCTATGATCAATAGCAGGGTAGGTCTCCGAAACTTGTACCTCATGTAAAGTTCCTTGAATTTATTTCTAGGGGATTCATGCAATCTCTGGAAACACTAAGGCTGATGGATTGCTTGTCTCTACTCTCGATGACGCAGATGGGCAACGAGGTGGACGATGTCTGCCACTTGGAAGTCTAGTTTTAGACTTAAGTCTGCTTTGTTGCAGTCTGAGGAGTTAAGAAAGAAAATTTGGACTTCAGGTTTTTTTCATAATCCCAAATCTAAGTTTTACATAAGTCAGAAAACTGAAGTTAAGTCCAAACTAAGACTTAAATCTGTTTCATGATCCTGGTGCCTGGTCTTTCTAAGATTCCATTCATGTGTTGCCTTGTGTCTCTAGTTGTCTGTTCAAGACTGATCCTTGAAGGAAATGGTTGATAGTACTAGTTGACAAATGGGTATTTTAGATTTTGACTTTTACAAGGATTTCTATTTGTTGAGAAGTCTACAGGATGAATTTTTCAGTACTATCTAATGTACTTAAGGTCTCC